GAGATTATTGCTTGGGGGCAGAGGAGGGGGCGTTAAGGCATCACTACAGTGGAAAAGAGAAGGGTCTGAAGGTGGTGAGGAGGAGGCATGGGGGGCTGGAGATGAGCCCAGGTCAGGGGGCACCAGGCTGGATCGGAGGGCAGCTCCCCAGTTGTAGGAGGGAGCATTGAGGCTGATAGCAGGTGGAGGCGGTGGGGCTGGAGAGGGGGCATTGCCCCTTGGAAGGAAACAGGGGCTGCTGCTGCCTCCAGAAGGGACTGGGTCAGGAAGCCTTGGTGGTGGGAAGAGCCCCCCAGGGCCTGCTAGAGGAGGGAAGGCCTGTGGAACGGAGGGTGGTTCTGGGGGAAGGGAGCCAGGACCCCCATTAAGTGGAGTTGTAGGAGGGACTCGACAGGGAGGACGGGCAGCGGGGGGCCCTGGGGACACAGTGTGGAACATTTGGGGGCTCGCTCCCTCTCCTGCAATGAATGAGAAATGAAGGGTCAGCCTGTGGCTCCCCTTCCAACAACTTTCTTTCATCTTCTCCATCCCATCTCCCATAGATCCCCAACCTCCCTGTACCTTCCTCTCAACAAGCAGCTCCCCGCGCCACCCTTCTCCTTGCCCCCCCTCATAGAGCTCCTCCCACCATCCCTCCTCCAGGCCCTTAAGTTTTCCTCAGTTGTCGGGAAAGTGGAGAAAACTCACCAGGAGAAGAGTGTGAGCAGGTGGTCTCCATGCTTCGGTACAGAGTTGCCATGGCAACGGCTTTCCGCCGGTGGTTGCACAGCTTGGTCATGTCCTCCTCTGATGCGGGCCCCACCCCAGCCCCACCCGGGGTCACCGGGGCCAAAGGGTCAAAGTTGAAAACCTGTAAGGCAGGAGTCACGGACAGGGACTCTGAGAGGGTGAGATCTGTGAGAAGAGCTACCATGATCAGTCATTTGCAGTAGGTCACTTGGCTTATCCCTGTATTCTCTGGCACCCCTCACCACTCTGACCTTGGGGACATTGAGTGGACACTCCAGACCGCACTTGCAGGTCCCATCGCTGAGGAGGTAGCTCCGGGTTTGCTCCAAGGAAGACAGCTCTGTGCCACTTGGGCTGGCAGACGACAGGGTCAGAGATATAAAGTTAGTTGACACCATATCAGGAAACGTGCCTAAAAGGACAGTTCTTGAATCAAAGACCTTCCTGGGAAGGACAGAGGATAAGGGATGTGGAAAGAGAAAGAAACAGATTTAAAGGGCCAGATACAGACAGCAAAAAGGCTGAGGAAAGAAGAACAGAGAGCAATAGGGTAGGTACCAGAGATGCGAGCTTTGAGAGGAGGGGTGGGAAAGAAAAGTCAGGCACTGAACAGCCTGAGGACAGAACTGTGGGAACTCTGAGGAGCCATACCTGATATAGAGCACAGCACCCTCTCGAACACAGCGCTGCCAGCCGATGGGGACAGATGTGGCCACAGGGCCCCCAGCTCTGTCTGCTCCACTGCTCTCATTGCCCCCATTCATTGTGTGTAATCAGCTCCCACGTGCCTGATAACAGACATCCATGTGGGCATTAGGAGGATTAAACTGTGCTGGGTACCTGAGGGAGTACTCCAGGAAGGCAAAGATTCTGGGGAGACCCGAGAACTCAGGAGTATGGAGAAACCCTCAGAGAGCTGAGAGAGAAAATGAAGAAGAACTCTCTGCCATCCCACCATGGCTACCTGAACATCTCTGCAAACATTGTGGGGTCCAGTCTAAAGCCGGGGCCTCCGGCTTAGCCCACACCTGCAACACAGGAGAGAGAAAGGACTGTCGGGAATCTGCCCAACTCAGAAGAGCACCAAAGCTCAGGATACTCTCAAGGGAAAGATCCTTAACCACATGAGGTAGGTGCCCACACATATCTCAGGGTTCTCTTGGCTGAGTCCACAACCATCCTTTCCGTTTACAGGACTGAGGAACCAGAGGATCAAAGCCTCCACTACCAGGGACCAAGAAATCAGAACCCAATTCCTAGACATAAAGGGCAAGCCCCCTTTGTCCCATCAGAGACAGAAGACTTCATCCTGGAATATGGGCAAATTCCCATGCCAGGCCACTAGGAAGTTTCCCAGAGAGTCTGGCCCCCTGCTGTTCCCTACTCCCCAGGAAGATCACATAAAAAGTGCAGATTGCCCCACAGGTCATCAGGCAATTGCCCAACTGCCCGCTGGGGTGGTACCAACAGATCCCCTCCATGCCTGTTTCATTAGACAATCACTGATCTAGTTCATTTGGGTCTTCTGAAGAAAGGTTGGATCCGTAGCTCTGTCTTCTCCCAAGATACTGAAAAGCTCCTGATTTCCCCCCAAGCCTAAGGCAAGGGGCTTCAGCACCTCCTACCCCACTGGCTTCAAATTGGCTCTAAGAAGGATTCTCTTCTGATATGTGGGGACGCCCCCCCCCAAAAAAAAACCCTTGCAAGTATCCTCTCCAAACTCACCATCGCTCCCACCCCACACTGGCGGCTTCTAAACTTTCCCTCTCATAACAAGGCGCCCTGTCACCCAGCCTGCTTCCCTCAGCTTGGGGAGGAGGGGAAGGCGCACGAA